GTATTTTGTGTGCTTAATATATATTGTTTTATTTTTTTTCCAAGTATATAATAGTATTAAATTAATTTCTTTTGTAAGTTTCAATCCAATTACTGAAGTCTTTCCTTTAATATGGTTCCTTTACTTAACAACTAATTTAAAGGGGAAAAATTTCAGATGATTTATGTATTCTTTGTAATTTAAATCTTTCTGACAAAAACTATTTAGTTGTAACTTCTTTTTTTTCTGTCAATTGATTTTGCTAGAACAAATAAAACAAATTAAAATTTTAGTTGATATCTAAATTGAAAAGCAATTAATTTTTTTTAGATTAATTTATTTTGAAAATTGACTTAATTTAAATAAATTTTATTTTTAAATTTTGATTAAGGAAAGATCAATTTTATTTAAACAGTTACGAAAATTTTGTATTTTTTGATGCTTAAAAAGTTCATTTGGAAGTTTTGGATATATTCTAGCCATTTTTTCAAAGAAAAAATGGTGCCTTAAATTTAAGTTTGAATGTGTAGAATTAATTTTGATTTGGTTTCTGGTATTTGACTTAGTTAATTTGGGATAATGAGATTTGCCAATGTTTATGTACCCGTGAATTATTTTATGATAACACATAATATCATTGATTAAAAATCTGTCTCTAATAGATTTAAGATTAAGAATTATAAGGAGATCTTCATATGATGGTTTAGTTGGATAGAGCTTTTGAAGTCCGCGAAAATATATAATTTTAACTGCCATTTTTTGAACATCTTCAAGCTTTTTCATTTCTGATTTAAGGTAAGGGTTAAATAATTGAGAAAATGATTCTATAATTGGTCGGACATAAGAAGTATATGCTCTTACCAAGAAATTAGGGTCATTAGATTTAATTGCTTTGATAAGTGAGAAAAGTCGAGCATAAGCTTTTTTTTAATGAAATCAATATGAATATTCCATTTTAATGAAGATGATGTTAAAATTCCTAGGTCGCGGACAAAAGAAATTATTGTGTAAATTTTTTTACAATCGATATAATAGGGGAATTTTGAGTTATTTTTTCCAAGATACAGGACATTACATTTTCCGAAGAAATTTGTAATTCGTTTTATAAGCCCACATTTCAATTTTTGAAATACAATTCTGAAGAAGAAAACGTTTATTGCAATTCGAATGGACTAGGTACGCTTTAAAATCATCAGCAAAAAATTTGAAAATAATATTATTTGTGGAGCAAAAATTTACTAAATCATGAATGTAAAAAATAAACAAAATGGGGCCTAGGACGGAGCCTTGAGGGACCCCCAAATTACTTGTATGGTATTCCGAATAAGTATTATTTATTTTAACAGAGTAAGTGCGATATCTTAGGAAATTTTCAATCCAAAAAAGTAGTGGATTGCCTATACCAATATTTGCAAGTTTTTTTATTAAAATATTGTGAGGTACCTTATCAAAGGCCTTTATAAAATCAAAATAGATAATGTCCACAGACATATTTGAATCAAGAGCTTTTGTCCAATCATCATGAGCTTCTAATAGTTGAGAAACAATAGATTTTGATTTAATAAATCCATGCTGAGATGTAGGTAAATATTTTGTTATGTGTATGATTAAGTTATCTTTGATAATTTTTTCTAAAACTTTAACTAAGTTGCAAGTTAAGGCTATGGGGCGATAATTAGCTGCTTGTGATTTATCGCCCTTTTTAAATAATGGTATAATATATAAATGAGTCCAGATAGAAGGTAAAGTGCCAGTCATCATTGAGTTAGGAGTTAACTTTGTTAGTCTGTCGAAAACATCCGCTTCAGAAATATCAATGTAATCAATAGTGTTTGTTATTAAGTTGTGTAGATTTAGTGGGTGTGGCAGATTATCTTTGTTAAATATTGATTTAAAGTAAATAGCAAAGTGATTGGCTTTAGATATATCTGTAGAGAAATTTTCGTTAGTATTAATGTCTGTTATGGTTGGAATTTTTAAAGAGTTTGTTTTAACTTGGGAAAAAATATAATTGAAAATCCTTTTGCTATTTCTGCTTTTGAGTAATGTGTTTTCCCTGTATTTTAAGTATTTTTTAAGTTCTCTGTTGAATCTTTTATTGACGTATAAAAATTTATTTTTTATTTTTGTTTGATGTACAGTCATCGACATAAAGATAGGGGCAAGTGTAAATGAAATGAAAATTGACTATTTTTAAGTCAAAAAATACATTTTATATAGCAATCGAAAGCTCTATTCGTATCTCAGTTGACATGTTTCTGCATTTTTCATGAAATTGAAAATTGGCCGAGATAATCCGGATCTACCGGATATACCAAATCCCATTTTTTCGGAAAAATTTTTCGGAAAAAATTTAACAAACCCATTTGATAAAGAATATTTTTGTGAGTATTTACCAAAAAACCGCTTAGAAATATCTTTTTCCGGTCCAGAGATATGATTTTTTGAAAATGGCATTTTTCCCTTAAAAATTGAATTTTTTGCAAAAATAGGCTAAAAATGCCATTTTCAAAAAATCATATCTCTGGACCGGAAAAAGATATTTCTAAGCGGTTTTTTGGTAAATACTCACAAAAATATTCTTTATCAAATGGGTTTGTTAAATTTTTTCCGAAAAATTTTTCGAGATTATGGGATTTGGTATATCCGGTAGATCCGGATTATCTCGGCCAATTTTCAATTTCATGAAAAATGCAGAAACATGTCAACTGAGATACGAATAGAGCTTTCGATTGCTATATAAAATGTATTTTTTGACTTAAAAATAGTCAATTTTCATTTCATTTACACTTGCCCCTATCTTTATGTCGATGACTGTATATCCTTCCAGAGTTGAGTTCGATAATTATCAATGTTTTGTAAATGATTTGGAAGGTTAGGGGATGAGGAATTTGAGAAAGGAATGAAATTTGCAATGAAATTTTGAATAATTTGAGTAAAGGTAAAATATACTGAGTCTAAATTATGAGGAATGATTGATTTAATATATTATTCCAGTTAGTATTAACAAAAGCACAGTTTAAAGAATTGTAGTCACCTTTAAAGAAATTTAATCGAAAGCTTGATTCGAATATTTCATTATTAAAAGTAACAGAAAACGAGAAAGAGGAATGATCTGACGACGAAAAAGGCGGAAGAGATTGAATATCATCTATTAGACTGGGTTCGTTAGTAATTAAAAGATCTAAAATATTTGCCGATCTAGTGGGAAAAGTAATAAGTTGATGTAAGTCAGCATTTTGGACGAATTCTTTAAAAATATTATTACCAAAATTATAGTTTAGCCAATTAATAGACGGTAGATTAAAGTCACCAGTTATTATTAAAGGATATGAAACAGAAATGAGAGAGTTTATAAGTGAAATAAAATCGAAAAGAATAATATCTGAAGTTTTTGGTGGTATATAAGCATTTAACAATCTCATTTTGTGTCCCAAAGAGTTTATTATATCAACGCATGTTATTTCGACATTTTTTAAATTTTTTGTTGAAAACTTAATAGAGTTGACCGAAAATATATTAGAAATAATTATAGCTACTCCACCACCTCTCAATTTCCTATTATGTCTAAAAATAGAATAAGGAAGATTTTTTACCAACAACGAGTCAGGAATATCGTTAGTTAACCAAGTTTCTGTTATAAGAATTATGTTATATTTATAGGATTCAAGTAGAAAATGTAAATCATTTAATTTGTTTTTGATTGATCTTGCATTAAAGTAAATAATTTTAACTCGTGGTCCAGGGTAATTTATTTGTTTAAAGAAACTTGGTTAAAGGCACGAACGATTTTCCCCTTGAAAATTTTCCAAGGGGGTTCGCCCACATTTAATTTTGAATTTTTATCTCTACATTCCTTACGTAACTCATAGTCATGCTGACGCTCTTCTTTAGTCAGTGAAGGTCGTAAATATACGCCAGAGAAGTCAGAAATATTACGAAGTGATTTAGAACGAGAGAGGATAAGGCGTTGGTGGTATGTTGTTGGCATCACTACTTTTATTGGTCGGCCTTTCCCATCATTGCGAGGCTTCCCCATCCGATAAGTTGTTACAGGATTAGTGGGAATTCCAAGCGAATCAATAATTTCATTTATTTTATTTGTGTCGTCTATGAAATTCTCTCTATCATTCTTACCCTGAGATTCAGAAAGACCGACTATGACTATCGATCGTGCTTTTTCTTTATCTTCAGAGGATAATAGAGGATTTTCATTTTGAAGCTTTTTTTCAATATTAGTAATAGTCGTTTGAAGTGTTGCGATTTGTTCGGATTGTTTAATTACCAGATTTACAAGCAGATTAATGGTAGAAATTAAGTCAAGATTAGTGTCAGAAGTATTAGGAGACGAAGGTGAGATACCAATTGATGTCAATTTGTTACGAATCGTAGTCAAACGAAAATCTGAGTCGTTATCCGAATCAGACTTCTCTTGACACGAACGTTTTCTATTTTTATTTGGGAGAGTCATTTTTATTTTTTATTGATTAGATTTTAAGGGAGAAGAAATAAATAGGAGTAGAAGAAATAAATAGGAGTGAAGAAATAAATAGGAGTAGAAGAAATAAATAGGAGTAGAAGAAGAAATTTTTATAATTATCTAATTTCTATTAGGGAGTTAAGAAATTGGCAATTTTGTCATTGACACTGTTAATAAAATTAATCAAAAATTTTTTTGTTTGTTTTTAAATTTTTCAAATATTTTAAGATATAATGTTGTTGAAATTTTGTTATTTATCGTATCTTGCATTAAATAATGCGATAATTGCTCCTAATTTTTTCTAGAATATTCCCGGACTTACAAAACTGATAATTACGCATAGTTTGCTAGCCAAGATGCTTTTCTGTGGTATACACAGCTTTTATAATATAGTAGTTAGTGTTAAATTTAAATAAAGATGATATAGAAACCGTTTTTAAATCGGGCCAAATAATTACCCTTTTATTCAAACTCTTCCCTCAAAACATATTTCAAATGTTTCGTTACATTTTATCAGTTTTTACAACACTTCCACTAAACATTTTTTAAATTTACTTCTCTTTATATTTCCTTATCAACCTTTTCCTTAACATATTTTTGTATATATTTTAGACTTGTAATATTTAACCTTCATTTACCTCCCGCCCTTTACCGCTTATATAAATAGCTTTTTATATTTCCATTTCTTAGCCTTTTATAAGTAGAATAAATATATATTATGTATATTCGTTCAGTTTTTAATTTGAAACCAAAATATTCACAAATTAGAGGTGGTTCAAAATTCAATTCTAACGTGAAAATAGGGATTGAATTAATCTTCTTGTTTAGGATTGGACAAATAGGTGTTTGAATAATGAGGGAAAAAATTATTTTTTGTTTAAGATCGGCCATAAAAATTCTGTATAATTCAAGATGGAATTTTAGCCTAGTTGAGCTAAAAAGGTGATTTTTGAATGAACGCAAAAAGCTATAGAGTGAGAAAAATATTAACTTTTATAGGATGAATTATAGCAATTGGAATATTTAATGAGAAAGTTTGAAAAGCAGATGGTCGGGCAGAATTTAGAAAAAGATAGAAAAATAATTTTAGTTCAAAGTGTTAAGAAAGAATATGTAACCGTCGGTTTTACAATAAGGAATGTAAAAATGGGTTCACTATTCGTTTATATCCCCACAATTCCGCAAATGTTTGTCAGCACATTTTTTCATTCTTTCTCCTCATAAGGATTAGAAACGGTCAAGTTAACCCCCATTTTTTCGCCTTCTTCTACTCTCAAAAAGATTAAAATGTTCGAGTAAAAATAGAGGAAGACAAATATTGGTTTATAGAAAAATATGAAGGTAAAAATAAGAGAATGTTTAGAAATTATTTCGGTAATAGTTTTGTTGGTCTATGGTTTTTGGCCATTTTGAGCCACATATCTCGGTCCATAGGCATTTACGAGAAAAAAGAGTGTACCGTTCGACTCAGCCATTTTATTAAATATATGACATTCTGAGCATTAATTTTTTTATCCTTCTTTTTCCCATGAGATGTCTGTGAACCGAGATAAAGGGCTCGAAATGGTCAAAAACCATTAGGCCATTTTGTGGTAAAAAATTCAAATATGCAAATAATAACTCATTCGAACGAGCTCGACGAGCTGAGTTGAATGACACCAAAATCACCGTCTTCGAACAAGTTTGGACCGAGTTACGATACAAAAAATTGTGTGGTTTTTCAATTTTCAGGGACCTGAATCTCAGTCAAATCAAATCAGATTTCGTTGATCTTGGTGTTTTTCGACTCAGCTCCATAAGCTCTTTCGAATGGGTTATTATTTGTATATTTGAATTTTTACCCCAAAAATGAACATACTCCCCCCTATGGTTTTTGACCATTTCGAGCCCTATATCTCGGTCCACAGACATCTCCTAAGAAAAAGAAAGGTACCGTTCGACTCAGCACCTTTTATTACCTTATATGTGAAATTTTGAGCATTAATATATAGGGGTGTAACAAAACGGAAAAGTACCTCCGTTAGTTTTGCAAAATATTTAATTAAATATTCATCTGAAAATTTAACAAAAACAAAAACAGAAAGTTCAATGCGGGAGTTCTATGAGGTACTGTTAATTTTTTGGAAGTCAATTTAATTGACTAATAATTAGGCTTAGACTTTGAAGGTTAGACTTTGTTGGCCATGAAGCAAGATTTCTTCCATTTTACCGCCGGAGGCGAAAATTTTATAATTTTGGAAGCCAATAAGACAAATTTCTTATTTTTTCAGCACCTCACCCCTAAATTTCATCATAATATGGTTTGCAGATTACAAACTCCAAATATTTTTAATATACGTTTATTTGGCTTATTCTGAATTATATTGAATGTTCTCAGACAATTTGCAATATTAAAGCGAAAATTACGCCAAAATTTCTTAAAACCATTGATTATGAGTTATGACTTTTTTTCATGTCGAGCTTTTTTTGCAACATATTTTCCTATTTTTTCACATATTTTAGCATTTTATACAACCTATTTTGGTACCTATTTTAAGGTTTTACGACCTAAAGAAGCCAATCCATGGTAATTACAGTTAAAACTTTTAGTTGGACATCTCCAACTTCCAAAAAATAAATAAACCAAATCAAAGCTAGGAGCTAATTTCTATTTTATGCTTACGTATTTTACAATTTCAAATTGAAATAAATTTTATTTTTCAAAACTGACCAATTTTTATAAAATTAACATTTACGCGTCCATTGAAATGTTTACGCTTTGAAACAATCTTTTTATGTTGTTCATCTATTTGTGTGTTAAAACATGATTCGGTTTAGAGAGTTTAAACGTACTTTATACTTAGAAGTACAGTGAAAATTTTAGTTGAATTAGCCAACTCCCAAAAAATTCTACGCTCCGAAGAGGATTTGCATCAATGGACATCAAATCTTATTTTCACGCCTATTTTATTAATTTAGATTAAAATAACATTTATTTTGCAATTTGACTGTTTTTATAAATTGTCATTGTCTTCTATTATTTTTAAATCTATTTGGAGACGTTTACAACTTTACTTATATTGTTTCCCTCCCCCAGCCAATCTTTTCCTTGAATTTTCTCTCCAAATGTATTCTCCATAAAAATTTTTAATCAACGTGAGGGTGATCAGCCTGGAAATTTCCCCTTGCCTCAATATAAAAAATCGCTGTATTATTAGGAAGATATTTCCAGTGACTAACAAAATCCTTTTAAGTTACAATTAAAATTTTTAGTTGGCATCCCCAACTCCCAAAAAATAACTAACGAATATGTACCGAAGGTACTGAAGTAATTTATTTTTAAACTTATTCAATTTAAATTTAAAAATCAAATATGTTGGCATTAACATTATTATCCGCACAAATCTCAGAAATTTTGAAATATCTGTACAAACTAATATTTTCTGTGCCTTTATGCAAGCTCAGTTAGAATTTTAGTTGGACTATCCAACTTACAAAAACAGACAAAAAAATCTAACTTAACACATCGATAGTAATTTTTTCTTATAAAATTTGCAAAATTAAAATGAAATAATATTTATTTTGTAAAATCGAATTTTCTCCTGCCTTTACAACTAAAATTTTGAATGTTTTTTCTTCGCCTAAAAATTAGATAATGATCAAGACGGGTCTTAGAGGGTTTCCCCAGCTTCCAAAAATAAATACCATATTACTTAATCATATGCTCATTAATATTTAATTTAAAAGTTATTGGAGTAGATTTCGTTATGATTGTAACAAATTTTGCAGTTTTTTTTCTCTCCTCCTTCGGGGAAGGGATTTCAGGATTATTTATGTTCAGTTTTAGTTATTATTTAAAAGGTACAAATTATTTCATTAATTTGGATAGAAACGTAGGTGCGATTGATGATAAAATTACGTGTCAACTGATGGACCTACTTAGTAAATTTTTGGGAGCCAAGGGGCCCATCCTTTTAACACATGCACAAAAGTTTTTGAGCAGGAAATACAATAGAAATAACCTAAGTTTTAATTGGTATCACCAACTTCCAAAAAATTATAAGAGGACCCTAGCCAACCAATAAGGTACTATTTACTTGTAGACAAATATTCATGCTTAATTGAAATATTTGCTATGAAATATTTATAGTAAATTATGATCTGACAGAGACATATCTCTTAACTTTTTTGGCCTTTTCCTTTTTTATCTCTTTATTTGTAAAATTTTTAAATTTTTTGGCATTTTGCAAATAAAATGAAAAAAATGGAGGATTTCAAGCTTATTAGCCTTCAAAATTCTCAATTTTTGTCGGATGCTCTAACTTAATTATACCAATTTAACCCTTTTTTCTCTATTTATTGTTTTGGAAAGGGCAATTCTACCTAAGATCTATAGAGGTCTAATTCAGCTATAAAGAACACCTATTTACAAAACTGCTCATATTAAGCAGCCTCAGGTTAAAAGGACAGCTTATTCTTTAATCAATCGGCTAATAATTTTCGTTTCTTTACTTAATATTAATTATAAAATTAGCTTTAAATAATAAACAAACACAGTTAAGGGATAAATCAAGCTTTCGTACAATAATTTGTCTATATTTTTTGGATGGCTGACGATTAAACAGTCAAATTACCGTATTTTTCCCAATAGAAGCGCACGTCCCATTTGAAGCGCACGTCCTATTAGAAGCGCAGTCTACGAGGAGGTTGAAAAATACAAGCGCAGGTCCCATTAGAAGCGCACGTCCTATTAGAAGCGCACCCTATGGAATAGTTATTTGAGCAATTATTCTGTTACATAGTTATTATTTTAAACAAGTATACATTTACGATTAAGAATTTACACTTTTTTATAAAAATGGATTCATTCCAGTTCAGAAATTGATGCTTAGGTAAATGTTCAAGTAATGTAATCGTGTTATACTCGAAAACGCAAATCTTATTCTATCGATAACTTTTCCAATCTTCCCTTTGTACTACTTGCACGTGAACGATCTGATCTCTCTCTTGTCGAAAGATTTAAGGTTTTTTGAGTTATAATTGGGGAAAAAATTATTTCGATCTTGCCTAGGAGATGGAGTGGATAAAGCTGGATGGATGATGCCCTCACAATCGAATTTTTAGAGCAATTATAGGGCAATCATTGTTCTCACAACGCTTGCTTATTTGGGTCCACCACCATGAAATTTTATTTGGGATGGATAGTTGAAGCATGAGATGTGATTTAAAAAGAAAATGTTACAAAAAGCTTTTGGGTTTGTGGAATTGGAATTCCAAGTGACGATTCCGAAAATGATGAGATTCATTATTTTAGACCAAATGGTCAGGCTTTATTACATCGAGCTTGAGAGGATAAAGAAATTTCAGAAAGTTAGGTAGAAATTGATCTTAATGAAGATAATGAAAACGGAATTGAAATTGATAATTCTATAGAGTTTTAATATTTGTTTTAAATTTCTATAATGTTATAAAATTTAATTCGCATAGGAGTTAAAAAATAGAAGCGCACGTCCCATTTGAAGCGCACGTCCCATTTGAAGCGCACGTCCCAATAGAAGCGCAGTCTACGAGGAGGTTGAAAAATAGAAGCGCATGCGCTTCTATTGGGAAAAATACGGTATTTTAATTTGACAGATTATTTATCGCAAATTTGAAGGGACAGAGAATAAATTTTAAATTTATTGAACTGTCAATTTTTCTGTTTGATATGCATTTATAAATTATTATTTCCTTAATAGTCTCATACTCAAAATGTTTTTTGTTGGTCCCTGATAAATTAAAGCTTCTATTTTTGGATGGCTGATTAATCAGTCAAATTATTTCTGAAATTACACAATCTATCTTTGTCAACTGTTGTAAATTTTTTTATGTAGGATAAAACGGTTTTTGGCTCGCTGACTTTAACAAAGCTTCGCCTGATTATGAGCAACGATTAAAGTAGAAAACTGAAAGAAGACCAATTACTTGGTATTGATTAAATGAATTATTATTGATTAAATTTTCAAATGATTTACTGACGCTGATTGACATCTTTGTAGCATTATTTATTTTTGGAAGCTTGAACAATGTTCATATCTAATTTATTAATGATAAATATTTATAGGATTTTTGTGTTGTAAAATTATTAAAATAAGTACCTACATAGTCCCCAGGTGAAACTAAGGGATAATGTTAAAGAATTGTGGATACACTTTTAAAATAATTATATTTCTCAAAAATCATTTTATATAGGTCGTTACTCATGT